TTAGATTTTTATGTTTATTGATTTAAAATATATTTTCTTTAACGAGTAACGGGTCGGATCATATTATTTGATAATATTACAGGTCAATTTCGGGTTGGGTTATTTTACCTGTTTACTTTAACGGGTGTTACACAACACGACCCATTAACATATTAGATATGTCACGAAAACGAAATAGAAAATACGACACGAATGTGAGGTTAACTTTGTATGACTATTATTAGAAACCTACATTTGAGTGTCATAATAATGATGTGATATATTAGAAACCAACATATGTGACAATAAATATTAGAAACCAACATTTGAGTGCCATAATGATGATGTGACAATTAATTTTTGTAACCTCGTTTTTCATGATTTCATGGTTTTAAATGCTTGATTAAGTCAAACCAATGATGGAGCAGACTTTAGCTTGTATTATTCAAGTTAGAAACAAGAAGGTGAGTGTCGAGTTGTATTTCAGAAATTTGTGGCTATAAAGTAGACCTGGCAGTTTTTGACACAACACGGTGACACGACATGAAAACGACACGAAAATAACGGGTTTCGGGTCAACACGATAACTTATCGGGTCACTATCGGGTGACCCGTTAAGAACCCGTTAATAACGGGTTCTTAACAGGTATACACGCGGGTAACACGTGGGTAACCCGTTTCGACCCGTTAAGAAAAAAATTATTTTAATAATTTTAAAGTTTAATTACTAAAAGATTTATTATAAAATACAATAGTCATATTAATATATACAATATATTCTATATTAAATATATAGTTTTGTATTATTGTTCTATATAAATTATAAAAAAATAAAAAAAAGTTTTAGTCATTATTTATTTTTATTATGAGAGTTCCTTATTATCATTACTAGGATAAATTTTACATAACATATTCTTGTCCAAAATTAAAATATACTAGTATAGTATTTGTATATGCAAGAACTAAGAAGACATACATACAAGTATGAAAAATGTGAAAGAATATATAAACACTCGTGATTTATCATTATTCCTTCACGAATAGATAATTGTTACACTTATATTATCGTTTAGATTTTTAAAATCCTTCAAACCCTCATGAATAATGTTTTTTATTTGAGGGAAAAATTAATAAAATTAATAATAATTATTGTAGAAGTGTAAAAAATGTAAAAAATTATATATACAATCACTCATATATAAAAAATGTAAATACTTTAAATTAAAGATCAAATTTATTCATTACATTCTGATAGGGTCGAGGAGTGTATATGTACAAAATCATCAAAATCAGAGCTAAAATAACCGTTAAATTCTGATTTTTCGTTAATAACCGTCGAAAACTTTTGTTCCGTTACGTAATTTCTGAATGTTTGTTTTTTACAATTTTTTACGTTTGCAATCTCGGAATGTGTACAAATAAGTTTGACGGTTGGATCGTTGAAAAAAGTTTCGTAGAATGCATATTGCATCAAAACGGTAGATTAAACAAACACTTAGAGTTAATATTATACTTCTATTAAGTATAAAATAAGTTTTTGTGGTATCCACTAGTGTAAATACTTTAAATTAAAGATCAAATTTATTTATTACATTCTTATAGGGTCGAGGAGTGTATCTGTAAAGAATCATCAAAATCGGAGCTAAAATAACCGTTAAATTGTGATTTTTCGTTTATAACCGTTGATAACTTTTGTTCCGTTACGTAATCTCTGAATGTTTGTTTTTTACGATTTTTTATGTATGCAATCTTGGAATGCGTACAAATAAGTTTGACGGTTGGATCGTTAAAAAACGTTTTGTAGAATGCATATTGTGTCAAAATAGTAGATTAAACAAACACTTAAAGTTAATATTATACTTCTATTAAGTATAAAAAAAGATTTTGTGGTATCCACTAGTGTAAATACTTTAAATTAAAGATCAAATTTATTCATTACATTCTTATAGGGTCGAGGAGTGTATCTGTGAAAAATCATCAAAATCGGAGCTAAAATAACCGTTAAATTGTGATTTTTCGTTTATAATCGTCGAAAACTTTTGTTCCGTTACGTAATATCTGAATGTTTGTTTTTTAAAATTTTTTACGTATGCGATCTCGGAATGTGTACAAATAAGTTTGACAGTTGGATCGTTGAAAAAAGTTTCGTAAAATGCATATTGCGTCAAAACAGTAAATTAAACAAACACTTAGAGTTAATATTATACTTCTATCAAGTATAAAATAAGTTTTTGTGGTATCCACTAGTGTAAATAGTTTAAATTAAAGATCAAATTTATTCATTACATTCTTATAGGGTCGAGGAGTGTATCTGTAAAAAATCATCAAAATTGGAGCTAAAATAACCGTTAAATTGTGATTTTTCATTTATAACCGTCGAAAACTTTTGTTCCGTCACGTAATCTCTGAATCTTTATTTTTTATGATTTTTTACGTATGCAATCTCGGAATGTGTACAAATAATTTTGACGGTTGGATTGTTGAAAAACGTTTCGTAGAATGCTTTTTGCGTCAAAACGGTAGATTAAACAAACACTTAAGAGTTAATATTATACTTCTATTAAGTATAAAATAAGTTTTTGTGGTATCCACTAGTGTAAATACTTTAAATTAAAGATCAAATTTATTCATTACATTCATATAGGGTCGAGGAGTGTATCTGTAAAAAATCATCAAAATCGGAGCTAAAATAACCGTTAAATTGTGATTTTTTGTTTATAACTGTTGATAACTTTTGTTCTGTTACGTAATCTCTGAATGTTTGTTTTTTACGATTTTTTACGTATGAAATCTTGGAATGTGTACAAATAAGTTTGACGGTTGGATCGTTAAAAAAAGTTTCGTAGAATGCGTCAAAATAGTAGATTAAACAAACACTTAAAGTTAATATTATACTTCTATTAAGTATGAAAAAAGATTTTGTGGTATCCATTAGTGTAAATACTTTAAATTAAAGATCAAATTTATTCATTACATTCTTATAGGGTCGAGGAGTGTATCTGTAAAAAATCATCAAAATCGGAGCTAAAATAACCGTTAAATTGTGATTTTTCGTTTATAACCATCGAAAACTTTTGTTTCGTTACGTAATCTCTGAATGTTTGTTTTTTACGATTTTTTATGTATACGATCTCAGAATGTGTACAAATAAGTTTGACGGTTGGATTGTTGAAAAAAGTTTCGTAGAATGCATATTGCGTCAAAACAGTAAATTAAACAAACACTTAGAGTTAATATTATACTTCTATTAAGTATAAAATAAGTTTTTGTGGTATCTACTAGTGTAAATACTTTAAATTAAAGATCAAATTTATTCATTACATTCTTATAGGGTCGAGGAGTGTATATGTACAAAATCATCAAAATCGGAGCTAAAATAACCGTTAAATTGTGATTTTTCGTTTATAACCGTCGAAAACTTTTGTTCCGTTACGTAATCTCTGAATGTTTGTTTTTTACGATTTTTTATGTATGCGATCTCGGAATGTGTACAAATAAGTTTGACGGTTGGATCGTTGAAAAAAGTTTCGTGGAATGCATATTGCGTCAAAATAGTAGATTAAACAAACACTTAGAGTTAATATTATACTTCTATTAAGTATAAAAAAAGATTTTGTGGTATCTACTAGTGTAAATACTTTAAATTAAAGATCAAATTTATTCATTACATTCTTATAGGGTCGATGAGTGTATCTATAAAAAATCATCAAAATCGGAGCTAAAATAACCGTTAAATTGTGATTTTTCGTTTATAACCGTCGAAAACTTTTGTTCCGTTACGTAATCTCTGAATGTTTGTTTTTTACGATTTTTTATGTATGGGATCTCGGAATGTGTACAAATAAGTTTGATGGTTGGATCGTTGAAAAATGTTTCGTAGAATGCATATTGCGTCAAAACAATAGATTAAACAAACACTTAAAGTTAATATTATACTTCTATTAAGTATAAAATAAGTTTTTGTGGTATCTACTAGTGTAAATACTTTAAATTAAAGATCAAATTTATTCATTACATTCTTATAGGGTCGAAGAGTGTATCTGTAAAAAAATCATCAAAATCGGAGCTAAAATAACAGCTAAATTGTGATTTTTCGTTTATAACCGTCGATAACTTTTGTTCTGTTACGTAATATTTGAATGTTTGTTTTTTTTACAATTTTTTACGTATGCAATCTTGGAATGTGTACAAATAAGTTTGACGGTTGGATCGTTGAAAAAAGCTTGTCATTACGAGTGTTTATATATTTTTTCTATATTTTTTACACTTCTACATTAATTAAAAAACTATTAAAGACTTTAGGTAAGCGAAAATATACTTAAAACAAAATTGCGTTTTTATGTTTTGGATGTGATAATATGGAATGTATATACTTATTTAGTATTATGTTTTTCATTTGATTATTTATTGGTTTAAAATATATTTTCCTTAACGGGTAACGGGTCGGGTCATATTACCTGTTAATATTATCGGGTCGGGTCATATTACCTGTTAATATTATCGGGTCGATTTCGGGTCGGGTCATTTTACCCGTTTATTTTAACGGGTGTTACACGACACGACCCGTTAAGATATCGGGTATGACACGAAAACGACACGAACACGGAAAACACGACACGAATGCCAGGTCTACTATAAAGAGTGCAACTTTTAATTTTTGGTTGTAATGAGTGCACCACGTGGAGTATCCCGCACTAGCATGTGCAGTAGTGAAAGTCAGGGACTAAATTGATCGATTTTGAAACTCAAGGACGCAAATGAGGAGTTGAATCAATTTCGAAGACCATTTGGGAGAAAGACCCTTATTTTGTGTAATCCACGTGTCACAATTTTAGAGTTCTCACGTGCTGCGTTTTTCAGGGACATGTATGTGCAAAGATGTGAAAGTTCACCCACTTTCATCTTCAAGATTTTTTATGGTCCTTAGAATATCGAATACTCCGAGTCTTTTAACCATTTGATCTTTGATAAAAAAAATTTAAAAAAATAAAAAAATAAAAGACAAAAATCAAGATGCAACAGTTCAAATGTGCAAAATTTCCTATACTCTGGAGCACCATATAATTTGTGTTCTATCTTCATCATGCACTCCTTTTCCCTATATTACACAATAGCCCTTGCTTAGAAGAACAATATCTTTGAAGAAGGCCATGGCTTGTGAGAAGAGCAAGATACTGATAATTGGAGCCACAGGGTATCTAGGCAAGTACATGGTGAAAGCAAGCGTTTCTTTGGGCCATCCAACCTATGCCTACACCCGACCAATCAAACCCAACACTGACCCTTCCAAGCTGGAGCTGCACAAAGAATATGAAGCCATGGGACTCACCATCTTCCAAGTAATTAATTATATATATACTAACGCTAATTAACCTCTCATTTCTTAGTTGGCTAAATCCTACTAGTTAACTGATCATGTTTTATATATAGTTACTCTATTCAATACTTAGGATTAGAACCAATTTGATATGGTGTGAACTGAACAGGGTGAACTCGATGAGCACGAAAAGCTAGTCGCAGCGCTTGGACAAGTTGATGTTGTAGTATCTACGCTGCCTGTGCCTCAGCATCTTCAACAGTTAAAAATTATCAACGCCATCAAAGATGCTGGCAATATAAAGGTGAAAATATATGTGAGAAATGTTCTTTCGCGTTGACTGTGAATTTGAATCACTGATTATGTGGATATTCTTTGCTAGACTACTCTGTCAAGCTCATTTACATATATGTTCATGTCTAACTACGTTCAATATATACATGTTGGGACTGTGAAATCAGAGATTTATTCCGTCAGAGTTTGGAGATGATCCAGAAAGAGCAAGCGCATTGCCGCCTTTCGAGGCTCTACATGAGAATAGAAGGGTGATTAGAAGGGCGGCGGAAGCAGCAGGAATTCCGTACACTTGTGTGTGTGCAAACTCATGTGCTGCATATTTTGTTGATTATCTGCTTCATCCTCGTGAAGAACGTGAGGAAGTCGTTGTTCATGGCACTAGTGAAGCCAAGGGTAAGCTTGCAAGTGTTGTATTTCACTTCTGGACCACAAATATTAATGCACTTGTCCTCACATAAGGGTAAGATAGTGGACTTTATCTAGGTTGAAGACTCGTAGATAATAACAGTAGCTGAAGAAGATCTCAAGAGAGAGAAAGCTCAAACAAGAACCAGAAATGGAAACCTTATATAATATTCTTTTACTGAAATTTACCAAATTAGTTACAAATGAATATTCCCTTTGCTATACATACCACATACAGAGCTTACAGACTAAGCAACCTTACAACTACCCAACTCACAAGATTATGACACATGTACAACATCAAGATATGCCACATATCTCTATCAGAACCTTACATCACTCAATATCCCCCCTCAATCTCAACTGGGAAATCCCAGTTTGAGATTGGAACAATGACCAACAAAAGCTAGACCATGAACACCTTTGGTCAAAACATCGGCAACCTGATCTGCAGTAGCAATATATTCAACCTGAAGATCTCCCTTTTTAACCGTTTCACGAACAACAAATGTGCATCAGTAGGATGAGCCATAAACTGACAGGCAAAATTCACAACAAATGCAATGTTTGGATGGGTAAACAAAATACTGACTTACAAGGAGTAGACCCATTAGACTATGTACGTGGCTAACAAGGAGCAGGACATGACTTGCAGGATTCCATATATGCCTTTTTGAGCAATTCTTTAACATATTTTGGCTGAGAAATAAAAAGATCCCCATTAGACTTATAGGTGACCTGAAGACCAAGAAAGAAGGTTAAAGGACCCATATCCTTCATATCAAATACTTCACCCAAACTGTCAATAACTTGCTAGACAAGAAGAGAGTCTGAGCCTGTATTGAATATGTCATCGACATATAGAAGAAGAACAACCACATGTATATTGGAAGCTTTGAGAAACAAACTTGGGTCTGAATCTGAAACAACAAAGCCTAAAATAGGCAATAGGTAGTAAACTTGGAGTTCCATGCTCTAGAGGCTTGTTTAAGTCCATAAAGAGAGTTAACAAGCTTACAAACATAATGAGAACGAACTGGATCCTGAAAACCCTGTGGCTGTTTCATAAAGACTTCCTCTAGTAAATCACCATGGAGGAAGGCATTTTTGACATCTAACTACCTTAAAAGTCCATTTTTATGCAGCAGCCAAAGCAAGAACAATCCTAATAGTACTATGCTTGACCACATGATTGAAAGTATCATCATAATTCAACCCCTGCTCTTGACTATACCCTTGAGCCACTAAATGGGCTTTATACCTGGAAATAGCTCTATTTTGATCCTTCTTAATCTTATCAACCCACTTACTGCCAATAATATTCCTATTGGATGGGGCAGGAACCAATTCCCAAGTTCCTTGCTTCTGTAACGCTTGAAACTCGTCAGTCATAGCTGCTCTCCAATGAAACTGAGAGACAGTAGCCTTAAATGAAGTAGGTTCACATGAATCCACAATGCTCAATACTGCAGTATAACCTTTAAAAGCAACTTCATCTGGAATACTAAGATTAGAAGCTGACTCATTAGCAAAACCAACCAAGATATCAGATTCTCTTTGAGAACCAACAGTGAACTAAGAAGAATCAGACTCAGAGACAGCCATAGAACCATCTCTTTTTCTAAAAATCACACCTGTTTTAAGTCTAGTTTGCATAGGATGGGAAGAAGATACTAATGTTCGAGGAGAAGAAGAAATAGAATCACTGGAATAGGTAAAAAGGAGAATTACCTCAAGTTGAGCATCATGATGGACAGGCAACAAGGGTTCTGTAGAATGCTGGAGATGAGTAGTGTAAACTTGAGAATGAGAGGTTTATGAAGAAGAGTCAGTCCCAATACCCTGAACCATAATATCAGGTACAACCTGTGTAGACTCATTCAAAGATCTGAACTAGAAACATCACTGAGAGACAAAGGAACCATTACAATCTGGGCAAAATTATCAACATCTTTAGTAGTGTCAACAGAAAAAGTATTTTCAACAAATAGAGGAATAACATAAGGAACAATCACTAGATGTCTTGATAGAGACTGTAGTTTCATTCTAAGAACTGGGAACAATTGAATTTGTATGAAAAGGAAATACTTGTTCATCATGAACAACATACAACATGCCTGACAATGAAAAACTTTTGTTTCCCTCTGTGATAACATATAACACCCTTGTACCCTAAGGCATAACTCAAGAATACACATTTCTCTGATCTAGGCTCTAGTTTGGTAGAAATATAGGGCCTAACATAGGGATAAACTATTGTACCAAATATTTTCAAAGAACTCAACACAGGATGAGAACCAAAAAGCTTAAAATATGGAGATTGCATATCTAAAGACTTGCAGGGCATTCTATTTATGAGACAAATGGCATGAGAACAAGCATGAAACCAAAAATTGTGAGGTAACTTAGCAGTAGTTACCAAAGTAATTGTAGTCTCCACAATATGTCTATGTTCTTCTCAGCAATCCCATTTTGTTGAGGGGTATAAGGACAGGAAACCATATGTATAATCCCATTAGATTCTAACAACTTCTTGAAAGCATTGCTCATGTACTCACCACCACCATCAGATTGAAAGAATTTCACAGAGGCTTGAAAATGATTCTTAATGAAAGCATAAAACTTCTCAAATACATAATACACTTAAGATTTATAAGCAATAGGAATAATCCAAGTGAATTGAGTAAAATCATCAATGAAACTGACATGGTATTTATAGCCTTTAGTATATACAACTGGTGATGGTCCCCAAACATCACTACTAATTCTCTCAAAAGGTTTTACAGAAGTATGAGAACTAGAGGAAAATACTTGTCTAGACATCTTGCCACACATACAAAATTCACAGACATGCTTATTTACATCAGCTTGGTAAAGAACCTTAGAGTAAGATAACATACTATTCAAGACCTCATTACTTGGATGACCTAGTCTATGATGCCAGAGAGAAGCTTTCACCATTCATCCTAGAAAAGCAATCGGCTGTAGTAGCTTATTGTAGTTGAAAAGACTTTTGGTAATGTAGTACAGGTCTCCCTTACTCCTTCCTCTCATTAGAACCTTCTTTGTTGCCTTGTCTTGCACCCAAAAGCCACTCATCAAGAATAACAAAACAATTATTATCCTTACGAAGAGTATAAACAGATAATAAACTGCCAGCAAGTGCAGGAACATGTAAAATTGTAATAAGATTCAGTGGTTTTGAAAGAGTTTTAATAGAGGTTGAACCAGTGCTCTTGATTGGAAGACACTCTCCATTGCCAACTGCAATCTTTTGATATCCCTCAAAAGGTGAAACCAAATTCAAATCTGCCATCTCTCCAATCATATGATGTGTGGCACCAGTGTCCATTATCCAAGCATGATTGAGCTTAAAACCAGCGGAAGAACTAGCTGTCATAGCAGTGAGAGAAGGAGGTCGTTGAGCACCTTGAAATGTATAGTTATTCATGTGAAAACAGTTCAATGCTGTATGACCGCATTTGCCACAGAGTTGACACTTAGGGACTGTGCCAGCAGAAGTAGAAGATTAATCATTCTAGTAGAAGCAATTGGGAGCAGTGTGCCCTCTTTTGCTACAAATTTGATACTCAAGGATGATGGTTGATTTTTTTACCACTGTTACCATTCCAAAAATTCCAAGAAGATCCCTTTCGAATTATTAGCAGCCTGATTAGAATAGCCACCAGAAGTTCTGTTGTTAAACCTGCCATTATCTCCTCCATTAAACCTCTGTCTAGAACCATTGAAACCACCCATGCTTCTGTTAGATTTGAAATTGGAGCTGGTGTTGTTTTGAGAAAACCCTCTATTATTTCCATTACCATTTCCATTGTTCCTTGGATATTGTCCCATAAAACACGTACCACCATTGAAATTGTTATACTTTTGAGTGGATGATTCTCCAGGATAAAACTTCCTTTGAGAACCAAAATTACAGGACTCTCGTGGATAAAATTGTCTCTGTGCACCTATTGCAGATGATTCTCCTTGTGAAAGCATGCCAGCCATAGGAAATGTAGCTGGAGTTTGCAACTATTCAGCTGTCTCACAGCACCCGAAATTCTTTTGGGGTGATTGGTGATTCACTAGCCTCTATTACTGTCTTAAGGCAGCTACAATCAAATCATTCTTAGATAAACTCTCTCCTGCAGCCAAGACTTGATCTTTCAAATGCCTAATTTGAAGAAGATACTTCTCAACAGAATCAGCCCCCTTTCTGATTGTATGAAGTTCAGTCTTTAGGTGATTAACCCTAGCTCAAGACACAATAGTATATCGATCAGTTAAAATGAGCTGTTTTGCTTCCAACTACTTACTCAATTGCTTCATCACCCAGTGTAGCAATAAATAGACTAAGTAAAGCTTTACCAACTTTTATCCGCTCACGATATGCCTCTGTAATTTCTTTTGTAACTCCTTTCTCCAAACAAATAACATGCTTGGGAGGCCAAACATTAGATCCATCAAAGTAATCAAAGAGATCATAACCTTCAAGAACTGATCTAAATTGAAAGACCACTTTGCAAAGTTGTTATCATTCAATCGAATGGTAAGCATACCAAGTAATCCATCAATTTTCAATGGTTGAGAAGTCATAGAAACAATTCATAGTCAAAATTAAAAAATTGATAGAAAGACTAGAACTAAATCACCAAATGAACACAGTATACAAACAGTAACAAACACAGAGCTTCGTGCTCACAGATTTCAACTTCAATTTATAGAGCTTTGTTCTCTCAAACTCCATACTTCTCCAAGAATAAGCAACAAACACTGAGGTTCGTGCTCGCAGAGTCCAAACTTGTTCAAGAAAAATTGAGGCTTCGTGTCCTAGACAACTTAATTTCTTCAATTTTCTCAAACAATTTAGGCTTCGTGCCCTAACACAACTCTTCAAGCTCAATTTTCACATAATTCATATCAACAATTACCAAATTCATATCAAGAATCATCACAATTCAGATCTATAACAAACAGTCAAACAGATATGGCTTCGTGCCTCATCATCAATAAAAGATTCAATATCAAAGAATCATAAGCTACAAATCAAAGATTCAATCAGAAAATTGCAACCACCGCCATAGTCGAAGAACACCGATCAACAACACCAGAATCTTGAAATTACAAACACGAAGTACACAACTCAGCTCAGATTATCACTGAAACTCATGTCCGATGAAAAAGCTAAGCTCATGATACCATAATAACAGTAGCAGAAGAAGATCTCAAGAGAGAGAAACCTCGAACAAGAACCAGAAATGGAAGCCTTATATAATATCTTTTACTGAATTTACCAGATTAGTTACAGATGAATATTCCCTTTACGATATATACTACATACAAAGCTTACAGACCAAGCAACCTTATAACTACGCCTGGCATTTTGGACCTAACCCGTTAACCCGATCCGACCCAACCCGTTAATATTTGTATTTGGGTGGATGCTTAACAGGTTGGATCGCTAACGGGTGAACCCGTTAACAACCCGTTAAATAACGTGTCACTTTGGGTCAACCCGTTAGACCCGTTAGGATCCGTTAACACCCGTTAGCACCCGTTAGTTGAAGATATTTTAGTAATTTTAATAAAGTCTTAATAACAAAAAATAAACTTTATGCAAAAAAAAAATAATAATAATTGTTAACGGGTGAAACGGATGACCCGTTAGCTTAACGGGTTGGGTTCGGGTGATCCGTTAACTTAACGGGTCAGGTTGAACCCGACTCAAACCCAATAAACTCGACCCGTTTACAGGTCTACTTATAACTACTCAACTCACGAGATTATGACACATGTACAACATGAAGATATGCCACATGTCTCTATCAGGATCTTACATAACTCAATACTAAACACATTTTAGTCGATTGGGGATTTATATCATTGTTTCGATAGAAAAAAAAGTTAAATTGTTTTGTTCTCTTTTTCAATTCCTTTTTGGATGCCTATAGCTGTGCTGAATTATGAGGAAGACATAGCCACATACACAATAAAAGCAGCAACAGATCCAAGGGCAGCCAATCGCGTCCTCACTTGTAGACCACAAGGAAACATTATATCTCAGCTGGATTTGATTTCTTGTTGGGAGAAGAAGACCGGACGGACTCTTAGAAGGATTCATATCCCAGAACACGAAATCCTCAAGCATTCTGAGAGTAAGTACCTACAACTGCATATAACAAAGTAAAGATGGCGAAGGGCTTACCATTTTTGCTATTACCGCATTGTCCCTCACCATTTTAGCTAGCCCGAAGGGCTTACCATCTAATTTAACTGGATAATCAAATCATTTTTACAGTCATAAACAACACAATGCATGTCACTATTCGCTAAACAAATGGATGGTGATGATCTCATTTTTTTATAAGCATTTTGCTTCAATTTCTTGTAGCCCTTCCTCACCCAGACAATGTACGTGCCGCAATCATTTACAGCTTATTCATCAAAGGTCAGATGAGGATTGAACTCACAGCAAACGACTTAGAGGCCTCAGAATTATATCCTGATTACAAGTACACTCCCATTGATAAGTTCCTTGATATTTGCTTGGTTGATCCTCCCAAGCCAAAATTAGCAACATTCTAATTAGCTTCCTTGATATTTGCTTGTTTAAAGTAGTATTGTAATTTCTTTTTATTTAATAAAGTTATGTGATACGCTACGGTATAATATAATATAATATAATATAATTACGGATTTATATCCTATAACATTGTGCTTATATAGTCATGATTTCATCACGCAGTTTTATCATCAAAACTACCTCCAAGGGTTCCCACAATAGATCATACAATGTACTTTGCTGCCATTTTCCAACTGCAATAATAAAGAACACAACAATAAGGAAAATGAAGAAATGCCGAACGAGAAGAGCCATTTTCTTACTACACTTCATTCATCACCTATAGCCTTTTAACACACAAAAGCACTAGGTTAGACGGAAGCATCACTTACCATTTTACACTTTTTAAGAAGTTATGAATCTAGCTACGATCATTGTTCAAACCAAGCTTCTGAGAATACTACCATAAATAAAGAAAAATACTGATGGCTAAAAGACTAAAAATTTGAGTTAAGAAAACATTTTTGACAAGTCCTAATTCCAACTTACGCACATGAACTTCAATGGGCTAAAATCAGCTAAAACACTCTTCACAAATAAAATTATAATTCAAATTTTCAAGAGGCGAAGAAATGTGTGAATCTCATTCAAGACACCCTAGAACCTAGTTTTCTTTCAACTGGATAGTGGAGGATGGATTGAAACATTAAACCTAGTGTGAACTTGTCTCCATAAGATAATGGTGAAGAAAATAATCCAAGAGATCGATCATTAGTCCCACAAACATGCCTTCTGCTGGGGGTAGAGAGATAGAGGTGGTGGCTAGGGTGGGTGTGGTAATGGCAGCGGAGGGAAGGTAGGAAACCACAATTTCACAGCCAAGAGATTCAATTCACACGTTCATGGACAAAACACTAGCAGTTGAATGACGTGATTGCAACGCCATCCAATCACAATCATATGACGTTTAAGAAACATCGTGGGTCTAAATTTTCAGCCCAAATTTCTTCTCTTGGCGCCTCTTCATTTTCATTTCCATGATCATATACAGATAGTATGTATGTCCCCTTCTCAAGTGGTTGTATGACATTTACTATGTGTAAAATAAAAAACGAAGGAAGAATGTTGCTTGAGCTTATAATGAATCCTTCTTGCTGTACAATTTTCTGGATAGGTTCTTTAAAAAAAAAAAAAATTGTTATTACTAAGTAAAGCGAGAGAGTTTGAAACTGTTATAATAATTTAGCAGAGGGGGAATTTCGATCTCAAAACGTATGGATAGAAATTCAACACCCTATCCACTAAGTTCTTGTTAATTTGCTATTTCTCTAATTATAGGGATGATGTTCAAATAAAGATGAAGAGATAAAACGGTTCCAATGATGAAATTTGTACATGAAGATACGTTATTTATACGTTGAAGAATTAGCTCATCCCCAATGGGGGAATGCAAGTATTATCCTTTTTTATTATTATTATTATTGAGGGGAGAAGGAGGATTTGAAACTACTACATTACTTAGAGGAGGAGGAATTTTGAACTCGAAACAAATGGCTAAAAACTCAACACCGTATCTACTAAAATATTGAACCATATGCTGGTATTGAAAGTCATTAATCTCATGAGAAAAGAGTGGTGTTACAAAAATAAAAATAAAAAACATGAAAAAGGCGTACAAGGTGGAGAAAAGGTCTGATATCCCCATTTTCTTTTTAACACAGAAATGAAATTACAACGAGTAACTTCGAGAGATTGTAGTTCCAAACAGATCAAATTTTAACCTATACAACATTAAATTAAGAAGGAAAATTACTAAACCAAATACATGAATGATCATATATAAATGACCAAAGGAAGCTAACGTAATATCCCCGTTTTAGACACTGATGATTGTGTGGTATTCCAGTGATGTGTAACAAACACAACCAAGGATTAAGATCTAGTTTGCTAAAAAATAAAACATCTCAGAGAGAGAGAGAGAGAGAGAGAGAGAGGGAGAGAGAGAGGAACAACTTTATTGACAAGTAGATTGCTTGTCAATGAAATCCTTCATCTCCTTAAAAAATAAAAAGATGACTCCTTTACACTAGTACGTTTTACTATTTGCGTGACGAACTAAAGTTGGTTGCGCAAAGTGTATTTTCATCGCACGAACTTCAACGTGACGGAAACTTCGTCGCACAAAGATCATGAAGAAGGACTTTGCGCGACGAACAATATTATTGGTCGCAACAACACGGCGCGACGGTTTAGCCTTCATCGCACAAAATTTTTAGGAACAAATGTGTTTGTCGCACAAAATACCAAGATATAAACTTGGAACGACTAATATTCGTCTGTCTAAACTTTGCGCGATGACAATTTATTCATGCACAACAAAACCTTGTTAGTCGCTAGAGTTTTGCGAGACGAAGGTATTTGTCGCGTAAAAATAATTTTTTAAAAAATAATTTTTTTGTTATGTTTTTTTAATTTTGTAATAAAATTAAATTGCAATAAAAAAACTGAAAATATAACTTTAACCCTTGAAACTCAAGTTTCTTTACATAAAACCCGGCATAGTCTTTTTACCTGAATAATACCCAATGACTAGGCTCCACATAAGCAAATTCATTAATTATGTTTGCCTTTACACATTTTGCATTTTTTAGATGCCTAAAACACCCCTAATTACGGTTTTAATGTATACATTTAATTCTATGCATATTTGCAAGGAGGGATTAATGACAAAATGCATTAATGTTTAAAATCATTGCATATTAATATATCACAACAAATTGTATATTAATGCTTTTGGCAAAAAAAAAAAAAAGCACTAATGTTATACTTTCCTTAAGATTTTGTAATTGTTTTTCAAATTTGCATATTGGATTCAAAATAAATTTATCTATATTTTATACAATAATATAGGTGAATCATTGCACACATATATATTAGTAATAAAATGTGCCCAATATATATGTAATAATGCATGCAAATAATTCACCTATAAATAAAGGAAATTTGGTTTAAAATAATATATCTACTACTTTCAATTTTCCTTTTTTTTTACAAACATAATGTAATTACAACATAATTTACCTATTGTTTAATCTTATATATATATATATATATATATATATAATTTGTCTTGGTTTAGTTTTTACTATATAATTTGGGCACTATTTTACTATATAATTTGGGCACTGTTTACGTATATTTTACATATAAATTTAGATAAATTATTTTTAACACGCATATATAATAACAAATAAAAAATGTCTAATGTATGTAAAATAATTTACCTACAACATAAAATATTAATTGTTTGTTATTTTATCGAACAATATTATTTGATGCAAAATAACTGATTGTACAAAGGATTTTCCTTTTTCATACGAAAAATGTACCCATAATTGTTTATGAATATTGATAAATTAATATTATATATATGTTACTAATATTTATGATACAAGAAGGATAAAATTTCCATATGGGGTTAATTGCTAATGATAATTAGGGTGTGTGATCATATTTATTGACATAATCAGGGTTTTGTGGCATAAGTTGTACATATGCTGTAATAATTGGTTATATATTTGTCTACATGGTAGTCTATTTGAATTTTGGGTTTTATTTGAATGTTTAATATTATGTGGGTTTTTGTTTGGAAAATAGGAGTTTCAAGGACCTTTCTCTAAAGAACCCATAAAAAATGTAATGAAGAGAAAAATAATTTATTTAAATTAATATAAATGTGTGTACAAGAAAAATGTTTAAAAAGTAAGGCAGTAAAAAACTAAGAAAATAATGTGGCGTAATCTACGGGGTCATCATTCAGAGGCGGCTGGAAGGTCTCGAGATTGTGGATGGGCTGAGAGGTCAAAGGGGCAGAGTTGTGGGCATGCTCAGGTTGGAGGGGCTTGGATATTGACGAGGGACGAAGTTCCGGGAGACGAATGCCAGACTGATTGAGGGCTTGTACAATTTGTGACATTTGGCTCCTATATGAGGTGAGCTTAGTCCTAAGGTTAGCCACCTCTGCTGTCAAAGTTGTCAGCTGACTCTTTGACTGCGATGATGAAGGAGTTCTAGGTACCCACCGCCGCGCATTCCTCATCGCCCTACAATACGTGCCCGGCCTCCGCCCGAGGGTTTAATCCAAGGTCTCTGTAAGGATCTGAAACCCCGCATCTTCTGGGGGATCCACAGACTCAAGCGGAGTCTCGGGAGGAAACTAGGAGGCGGACTCGAGAAGAACCAACTGCCTCTTGTCCATCATCGTCGCATGACATCAAATATTAATTATAACATTCAAATAATAACCATAAAACTTGTATGTGTAAGATAGTAATTACAATTGAAGAATACTTACATGAAGGGACTCAACCAACTCATCCCCGGGTTGAACATAAACGTCGCTAAAGACATCAATCTCCCAAAATTTTGAACTCCCTGAATAGAACAAGAGAAGAAAAATGTTAGTACAAAAAAAAAAATTATTAATGACATTAAAAATTGAATATGAAAAACTTTATTATTACCCGCCGCCGCACCTCCATCCTATATGAGAAGGGCCTCGAACCGGAATGGTGGAGAAGAGTCTTCTTTTCCCGATTGCTCTTGTTGGCTTTCGCCTTCTTCTGTTATACAAAAACTAAACGTATTAGTTCAAATTTAAATGAAATATAAAAAAATCAATAAACATTAGTAAGAAACGTGTAATACTTTTAAACTTAATATAAAAAAGGTACCATATAGCCTGACTCCTGAAAATGACTGCAGAGCCACGCCTAATTATCTTCCCGGTCCTCAAACTCCTTCAGGCAACCCTCCTTAAGAGCAACCTGCGGATCATCAAATATCTCAAAATATTGGTGCAGGTCGCTCTTCCTCTGCTTGTACCGTTCAGCGAAGAGCTTGTCGACGTACGCCAACATATCCTCGTTGATGTCGACGAAATTATAATTCATATGCAATGTAGCAAATTAATTACATACATTAAGTAATACAAATATATAAAATTTAAAGGAAAAACAATTAAAAGGTAGCATACTTAACGACAATTGTGCGCGCACCTTCGTCTTCACCTCGTTTGGCATCGCCTTCCAAGACTTCTATTGCATAGGGCAATAGGTCCGAAC